AGTCTATGATTCTGTGATTCTATGAATTCACTTCTATAGCATGTATTAAATCTGAAAGGATCTGAATCCTGCCGTAGCCGGCACTTGCACACGAGGAAAGGACTGACCTGGAGCTGTAAAGGGGTGATCACCAGGTAGATGCCTCACCAGGGAAGATGCTGAGCTGCATTTTTGCCCAAAGACAAACAGCTCCAGCAACGTTAGTCCTGGGAAAGACCATTGTAGGCCATTAAGTTGATTTTGAAAGGATACCACGTCCAGCAAAATGGTACTTTTTCCAACCACCTAAACTCCTTTGAACTCAAACATTTTTCAAATGTCATATGCTGGTACTAGCAGGATCAATTTAACATGTCGTGGTTTAGCATCCGTCCCAATCTCGCTCCCCAAAATGTGACTATGATCAAATTTCTGCAACTTATTCTACCTCAAGAGCCCGATCAATATGTTTTTATTATTAATAAAAAACACATTAAGTCCTTCTAGTGACTATGTGCCAAACCACCGGTTTCAGTGAGACCTGGATCAGTCCTACCACCTTGCCAGAAATTAGATTTCTAGAAAGAAGCCATACAAGGTAAATAATTAATACCCTTTTTCCTTATAAATGAACATAATTCAGTAAGAGCAAATTATTTTAAAAGTTTGTTAAAAAATAAAATATAAAAATGCTCCCAAATGAAGATCATGTTTCTTCTGCATCGACGGATGAAGAGTCCCATGGTGGGCGGTGGGGAGTGGTTGATACCAAAGGCTGAACCACCTCTAGCACCAAGGATCCCTTTCCCAGCTGGATTTAAGAGCCCAGACTCGATCTCGAGCTCTCCATCCTCGACACAACCCGCCCCACACTTGCAGCAGCTAACCATTTTTTGTGCTCGGAAGTTATTTCTCAACCCTTTTTGCAAGCTCATGCGGATCTCAGCAGAAGGAAGATTTACCCTCGCTCCCTTTGATCAGCGCTCGTCCATTCGGTTAGCAGCTACACGTAAAACGCAGGAACATCTCTGCTGTTACAAAACTCCTCACGTCTTATTTCCTCTCTCCTCCTCTTTCCCGTAACATCAAAAGCTTCTTTCGCAGTTTATCAAGTCCCTCTGCTAGTACCAGCTAAAAAAAAAAAGGAACCAAACTTAGAGGAAGTCTTCTGGGAAAGCAGAAGAATGTTTAAAATAAGTTATTCAAAGCTTAAAAAAAAGTCTAAATCTTCCTTTATATACCCAAAATTTGTTAAAACACCCTCCCAGTCCTTACGGTAGCAGACCAGAGTCCTTTACCTGCTGTCAGATGAAATATTCTCAGGCAGATACATTTTAATGCAAAGGAATTTTGTTCTCTGGTAATTAACAAATGGTTAATGGAAAGATAAACTCATTGAGAAAATTAGGTGATTTATGGTCCAAATTTTTCTGTCCTTACTGGCGCACATGTTCCCATTAATTTAATTCAAGTCTCACTAGCAGTCAGATTTCCGAAGTAATTTAGTATCCAGATGCAGAGAGAAGAGTGGACCACAACAAGCAAAGACCGATGGATCTGCTAAGAAAGAGACAACTATAACTTGATTACAAATACTAAAATATATTAAATGGAAAACATAGGAATTTCACATAACTCTAGCACTAAATGTACCCTCTTTCGCCAACATGCCAAAAAAAAGAAACTGTTTTTAAAAATGACAGCCATATAGTTAATCCGGCCTTCAATATAGACCAGGCAACTTGCAGCTTTTCTTCTCAGCTTAGACGAAACGAGCTTTTCCTCCCTTGATTATCCACGCAGAATAAATTGCCAGAAAAAATGCACTAACACATCAACTCTGCGCAACCAAGTCCCCAGCCCTAATGCTTGAAGAAGACCTGGCCTGCTGCTTCAATTTGATATGCTCTTCCCCTTGCTGCTCTTCATCCAAATTGACCCATTTTTGTTTAGGATTTAGATCCTAAAACATATTTAGGATGTAGCTATGTGGTAGGACTGACCCAATATATCAGCTCACTACTGTTAAAAAGTGGGGGTCCCAAGGAGCTCCTCATTTTTGGCCAAGCAGTTCTCCACCCTCCGTCGTTAAGCCCTTGTAAACGTCGTGCGGCAAGACACCTCACTAATCAACTCGGTAATCCAGCCGAAAATTAGCCCAGAGGCTGTTTTCTTGCAGGCTAGCAAGAACCAGTGGTTGTTTAGCCAGGCAAGCACTGGACCGACACACCAAGCTGGACACCTGGACCGCGGGACATGGAGAAGCGAAGTTCTCTCCGGGAGCCTACGCCATCGATTCATCTCACTCATCTACCCACACCCTCCGTCATTTGAATGGGAACCGAAGATATTCCTGAATTCACAGCAATTAACTAACCACACGAATGCAAAAAATGTATTTATTGCTGGGATGGGTAACCCAGTTCTAGAGCTGCACGATCCAGCACCGCAGGGAGATGAGCTGTGCACACATTTCAGGTCGCATAAGCTTTCAGATTATCCCTTTTTATTATTTCTATCCTTTGATTTTGTCATTTGCAGGTGGTAGCCAGTGAATTTCCAAAAAGCCTGGAGGTTGTTCCCTAAACTTCGTATCGCAGCTGTGAACGGCTTAGAAATAGGAATTTTTGGTTGTTCCAGTGTGGAAGCAGACGTAGCACAGCAGGAGAGGATAACGAAGAAAGTTATTCTTTCACTGTGTGAAACACAGAATGGCTGGAGTCTGCTCAGCTTTTGACTACATAAAGCAGAGTGTGATATCAAGATCTCTGCATCTGCCATTAATTTTTATCTTCGAAAAGAAAAACAATTGGGGGGGGGGGAAGAACGTGCCGCTGCGTAACAGAATCCGGGGGTGGGAAGAACGTGCCACTGCGTAACAGAATCACAGAATAACCTGTAGACTCTGCCCACTTTACACCATTTTTAAGAGAAGTCATACAGATCAGCGAGTTTCTGCTCCAAAAGTCACGTTCTTCAAGTTTGCAACTCTTCCCAATATCTTTTTTTTTAAAGAAACTAAAGATTTCCTCTACATTTGAAGCGTATTTGAAGCACAAAATATTAATATTGGTGTGATTCGCTTCGGAGTTACTGTAACCGCAGGGTTGGGATTATCACCGTGCACAAACCACCGTTGAGCGGTGCACCATTTACGAGGGAGATCATTAAAGAGTGGGAGTGTTTTCTTTTTTTTTTTTTTTTTTTTTTTTGAGAGCTTTGTTATTCTACATTTAAAGCAGGGAGGAAAATTGTATATTAAACCCGATTCATTTTCCACCTGTATTACCATCAACTCAAAGTACAAGCACAAACTCTATCAGCTGTACTCAAACCTGCCAGAGTATTCCGTGTTTATTAGAAAGCTATGAAGTGTTTCAGCTTTCAGGAAACCATGCTAGGGGAAATATATTTAAGATAAGATTCTTCAAAAACAATGATTTTACTTTTGAGCAGAAAATTGAGCTAAAATTTGGGAAACTCCAACTTCTAGTTTGTTTTGAGGTGGGAAGAAAAAGGAGGTACATGTTCCTTAACCGAAAGAATAAAGTCATTGCAGAAACAGACTGAGCTATAGAAGTGGAATTCCTCCCATAGGGGTATTTCTACAAACACAAATACGCTTTTATCAGGATAATTTGTCTTAATTTGTCTTAATTTGTCTCATCAGGATAATGCATTTGGAGGAACACTATAGGAAAAATGACACTGCCTAAAGACTTCCAGAGCATACTTCCAAAACTTTACAGGTATACAAAATTAGGGCTCATGCTTCAGAGCTTTAAATGAATAAAATCATTAAGAGTGATTCACTTTTGACAGGAAGTCTGAACTATATTTATTTTATGAAGAGAAAACTGTAAGAGCTCCTCCACTTGAGCAGAGCAACACACCCCGTTACAAACACTTGGCAGAGTTATAAATACCTTATTAGTTCCAGTGTAATCGTCCTCTTACATGGAAATCGGCTAACAGTTACAAAATACTTTATGCAAGTTTGAAGTAAGCTTGTAAGAGGCAAGACATCTTAAATTGTGGTGCACAACACAAATCTTCCTGGGGTTTATTAAGCCAAACGATCCAGCGCTCTGCTCTAGGAATCTATGGTCCAAGGAAAACCCCTGGGCTGTGAAGGCTTGCGCCAGCCCATGCCATCGGTTTCTGGGGAGCCTAGACGTCCGAAACCATTACTTACAAATTTATTCCAAGTTCCGGATGTTCAAGTATCCTTTTTTCTTGCTTTACAAAAGCAACGCTAACTGTGCCTGGTACTCTCTCCGGTTTGCAACGGCTCTCTGCATGCCACAGAAGAAAATTACTTTGGATACCACCAACCCTACCATTATTTTTAAGTCCTATCCAACACCATCCTGCTTTATGGCTTCATACAGAGCTTGCTAACACTACTATTTTTACTTTTTCATTGGAATTTCTATTGTCATAAAATCCTCAGCTAGTGTTACCTCTTGACCATCTAACACGGACTCTGCCTGTCTCTTCAGTTCGGTGATGTCCGCATCTCCCTCACCTCTCTGAGCAGCCGGTTTATACCTCTGACTGAAGTGAGTGAAAACCAGTTTCTTAACTTTACATGATTTTGCAAAATCCGATGCCATTTTTGGAGTGCTATGACCATGCTCTCTGGCCTTTTCCTCTTGGGTGTCGTCCAAAGTGGCTTCGTGTATCAGTACATCTGCTTCACAGCAAAGTTTCATGGCCGCATCTCCAACCACTCCTGAACAATCCCCTAAAATGCAAATTTTTCTTCCAGGAATAGGGTCTTCTAAGACGTCAGAAGGAGAAATCGTTACTCCGTTCTCTAGAACGATTGCTGTTCCATTCTTCAGTTTCCCATATAAAGGACCTGGTTGAACTCCTGGCAAATAAAAGCAAAAGAGTCCTGATGAGTGTCAAGTGTAAGAAATAAAAAAATCACTTAAGAAGAGATAGGCTATATATAGAGCTGTCTCAGTGAAAAAAGACAACCTCAATATAAAGAGCAATTGATATTTCACATATTTCACACAAACAAAGAGCTTGTAACGTTAGCAGGAAGTGTGTTTGAAGAAAAGCTACATTCTTCGTATTAAAGTCAATAAAGTCACGCAAATACACTGGCCATACATTTCCCTGAAAGTCACGTTATGCTTTTTTAAACTTTAAAATCTGAACTTGTTTGCTCTTACCAGTATGAGAACGGTCTGCAATATTAACTGGCACTAGTGCGACACGCCAATTCAGACTGCTGCATTGGTATGAAGCGTTAAAATGTCTTTAATAGAAAATGGAAAATTGAATGAAAATGAATTCAGGAGATAGAGCAGCTCTAATTTGCTAGAACCCCTAGAAAGGTGTTCATAAAATGATTTCAGCTGCCTGTGTACCCAATTTTGTTACATTTGCTGAAAACTGGAGTCACTGCTCAGCTTAAACACACGCATTTAGACATTTAAAAAATTAGAAAGAGGAAAAATAAGTCAAAGTAGTTACCAAGGTCTTTCAGTTTCTGTACATTGAGTTTACCAGGCCGGGCTTTCTCTTCCACCACAAAACCAAACGAAGGAATGCGGTGAAATAGGCGAAACGCTTTCAGAACCAGCTGCTCATCCTCAACCAGCAAGTAAGAGTTTTCTACTGGATCCAGGTGGATTTTTCTCCCTTGTGCTCCCTGGGGAAATACTTCATCTCTGTCCAGGTAAGAAAACTCTCTGAATTCTTCTGCGGGGCACTGGTCCTGTGTAGGTACCAGTTTATGAACAGTGTAGGGTAACAGAAGTAGGTATGGAAAGAGAAGTTGTGAATGGGAGAGCTCCATACTCCTCCAGATGAAGTTTCGCAGTCCTAATGGGCCATAAATATCCACAGGTGGTTTGTTTACGTCAGGGCTGCTTTGGAGGCTAAGTGTGCACAGCAGGCCAGGGAGTCCAAAAAAGTGGTCACCGTGAAGATGAGTTATGAAAATCTTGGTAATTCTGCCTATCGAGGCAGAAAAAGAAAACAGGAAAAAATAGGAAAAATGAGTACCGTAACAACTCAGAAATAATCGCTTTTTGGCAAGAAGTAGGAAATAAGGAAGGAGGGAAATTAAAATAAAACCAGTGTTTAAGAAATAAATCCCAAACCACAAAGTTGGGTTTTTTTTTTCCACAGTAGCGATAGGTTTCCACACAAGGAAACTTTATTTTGGCTTGATTTGTCGAGAAAAGACTGCCGAGACAGAAGTTTTTGTTGCTTCTAAGCAAAACATGCTACAAGCATGAAACAGAATCGACTGGTGACATCTGCCATATTAAAACGCCCAAAGTGCTGGGAAGCGGTTGTGCTTTCATACGTTACATGGAAACTGTAGACTAACGAGAAACATCAAGTGGAATTTGTGTTGTTCCTAGTTTTGAACCTAGCACATGAACAGAATTTAAAAAAAACAAAACAAAAAAAAATCCAGTTTTGATTTCAAAGTTTTTTAAAAGGCAAGAACCCCACAGTTCCCAACTGGTTTGTTTTGAACAGATAAAAAACTGCACTTAAAGATTTTGGCTTTGTTTCACGTCTGAGTGTGTCTCACTCCAGCTCCCCGGCACTGGGCCCTACCCTTGCTAGATTAAAAAAGCCCAGAATGTTCTCTCATTACAGAAACGTGTACTTTAATCAGGCTGCCTCAGTCTCCACTGAGTTCCAGCTGAGTTCCCATTTCCTTGTGATAAAGCATGTTCTCCAGCACCAACCGAGCAATAGGAAGGACAGAATCTCTTTAAGAACAATTTAATAAAAAACCCAGTAAATTTAGTAAAAATTAGCCTATTCACTTAGTGATTAAATCCCCTGATAGCTTCAGATTTTGGAGGAGCAGGAGGTTGGTTTTCTGTTTATAATTGATAATTCCATCTTTGTAACTTGAGAGTCAGAAGTCTGCTCTTAGCGCTGTAGGCTGCAAAATCACAGGTAAGTCTGGTTTCTGCTTTATTTGCCAAAATGTCAAAGTTTTATGAATACACACAACATTACTTGAAAACAAAAGCACAGTATTTATTGACAGGAGGACTCACAGGAGGTATTGTCTAGAGTTGCCTTTAGACAAATACAAAGTGCCAGTTTAAAGCTGGTCTGTGGTCCACGTTTGAAATTACGAAGCCTAAGAAATTCATTCAGGAGAGTTTGGTTCTCCCAACACAATTCTTTACCAAAGGGCAATCAAGGACTACTGCAGGGCAGGTTCAGCAACTGCCACCTTCAGATGCTCATGCATGTTTAGTATGTATTCAAATAAGACGAGCACGAGGACAATGTATTTTGTTTAGATCTCAAGAAACTTTTCTCCTTCCCTCATCACAATACCTTTCAACAGCACAAACCTGCTTTGAGATGGCTCTTCATGAGTTGCGTTTGAGTTCCCTCTCCGCAGTCGAAGAGCCAGCACTCTCCTTCCCTGCGAAGCACTATCGCCGATGCTCCTCTTGTTGGAGAGGGATATGCTGAGCCTGTGCCGAGGAAAGTTATATCCATCGACATTTTAAATACGTCGGTACGCCACCTGAAAAAGATTTTCAGCTGCTGGACATACATATTCATGCTGGGAAAGAAACAAGTATTTTTGCGTTCAGCGAAGGCATCCTACGTACTTTAGTGTCAGGATCAAATTCCCCTTCTCTTAAAAAAAATAAAAATAAAACCTCCCTGGAGTAAGATAAGACTTTCAGACAACCCCATATTTACAAGCAGCCGATTTCCTTTTTATGTCAATGGAAGGTTGCAAACACACAGCTCAAACATAAGACCTTTGTTCATTATCTAAAGAAACAGCCCCATCCAGTTGCAAATGCTCCAATCTTTAAACTATTATTTCTTTCTTCTTCGCTTTCTTTAAACTTTGAATTTTCCTGCGCTTTCCTCTAAAAGCCTTTTCAGAACTAACACCAAACAGCCACTGCTGACGTTTAAACGCCGTTACTGCACGCCAGAAGTGTGCAGCCCAGCACCACAGAGGGGAAAGATTCGCTCCCCTCAACAAATGCAGAGACCGCAAGAGCCAGGAGCGACCCTATTTACTTTGCCTTTGCCACGGCATCGTTCAAAGCGATTGATGTTTTACTTCTCACCAGTGCTAAGTGAAAAATTAAACACTGATGAACCTGCATGCAGCCTGAAGGCTGTGCAACAGATCACGGGACACCTATTGCAGCAGAAGGATCTATACAATCAGCTGCCATACCCTAGTCATTTATGTACCCGCTATATTGTCCGGAAGAGGAGCCTGGCTGGTCTGCAGGAGCAGGACAACCTTTGGAAAGCCGCGTCAGGAGCAGAACCTCCACGTGCACGACTCGTAACGCTGCCTTGCCTTGCAGGGTGTGCCTTCTCCAGCCTCAGTCTTCCCAGACTTAGTTCCTACCTCATTTTCGGATGTATTTCCACCTCATTTCGAACTCCAGGTGCCTCAACAGCTTCAGATACCTTTCAAGGACAAGAATTACTGTTTTCTCAGGTTTAGTTGCCACACCTTTCCCAAGGGGAGCAGTCCTCTTCCCGGTGTGTTAGCAGGGTCCTCCCAACCACACCAAGGCGCAACGCGTAATTACCTGACCTCGGGGGGCGAGGAGGGGTACGATAAACATCCACCACACCCCCAAAAGGCACAAATACCCATTTTGTTTCCTTTTCCTCTGTGTAAAAGCAGATTAACAGCTGAACTGGCTTCGGGCCTTACGCCTTGAATTGGTGTCCGCGGGCTGGGACGTGGGGCCAGCCGAGGCCCCCCAGAAACACTTCAAACCCCGCCACCCGCACT